GGAAAAGCAATGCCACTGCTGTTATTTCTGCCTTAACTGCTGTATTTGCCACCTGGCAACCTCCTCATGAGATTCAGTCTGATGGGGGACCCCCGTTTAACGCTCCAGACAAATTTGCTCGTCTTCACAATGTAGCATGGCATCTCCATCTGCCGTACCACCCGCAGTCCATTGGCGTTGTAGAAAGACACATAGGTTTGTACAAAGAACAACTTCATCTCAGAGGAGGGGGGATGTTTAAAAACTGGACTAAATTCAATCATGATGTTCTCATCTCACTGAACGCCTCAAAGCCGTTATGGGACGAAGCTAATGTCCAGAAACCCCTACCATGGGAATCAACCAGATGAATTAGTGTGGATCTCGATACCACACCCCCACCAGTCTCATCCGCAAGTTCACAAGGGAACAGTTCAACGGTCAGGACAGTATCCTAATACCTATTCTATCCAATTAGAGGAAAAGCCCAATCGTCCCCCTATTATCGTTCATCACAACTGGATGACTCGTCGTTCCGACGTTCACCTAGTATCCTTATAGTAAATTCAACTATGATTCTCTTTTGTTTTGTTCTGTTGTTGTTTCTTTTTTTACAGGTCCAACTTCAACAAAGCAGTAGTCCACAGCCGCTCGATCGTGAGATCCGTCGAGCACCCAACCGCGGTTCCCTTAAGTCAACGTAATAACGGCTATGGAGGGGGCACCGAGGCAGCGAATGTTTATCGGCCCAGAACTTGCTATGGCGCTGCTCCTCCCTATCTTTGCTAAGTATTTTAATTGGTATTGTCTGTTATGGGAGAAGATGGACGTCCTGCAGTGACTAATAAATGAGGGGAGTCCCAAACAGATGTTCTCCAATCAGATGATAACTAATAGTTGTTGTTATATGTTTAAGTTATTCTATTTTATAGTTTGTTAAAAGACTGGTCTGTAAAATTGTTTGTTTATATGTATGTATGTATGTATGTATGTATGTATGTTGGTTGCTTAAGCTCCGTCAGTCCAGTAAATCCTGAAACAAAAATTCTCTATAACGTACTCATGTGTCTAAAATTCCAGTTGTGCCGTTGGCAAGGGGGCATGTCACAACCCAATGGTTTTAGTGCCTCGGCACGATGGAATTTTCCCGCCACGTGAGAGTCTCTTGCACAGCAAAAGTTTTCTGCTGCAACAGAGAACTCCGGTGCAAGAGAGTTCCTGCCATTTTGCGTGCAAATTTGTGTCCCGCTATTGGCCAGTTCTAAATTATTCCTACATGGCGGCTAGTAATTGGCTTGCTGGCCGTATAAAATTTTGTGCAACTTCCGCCCAAGTCGGAGAACTTTGAGCACGCTGCAGAGTGCTAAAGATATCTGACTTGCGGCTAAGCTGATCGACAGACTGATCACCTATCGATTCTTCTCCCCGTCGCCGAGCGCAATCCTTTGACGTACCCTTTCCCTGCCAGCTTAATTTGTGGACGGATTAGCTGGCCTGAGCCTTGCCAGCTGGAGCAACTCATGGAGTTGTTTAAGCGACCGGACCACCTGCGTCGCGGCTAGTAGCGGCGTAAGTAAAGTTTTTGCAACCAATATGCTTTGTCTGCCTCTCCATTCACCAGCCCGCCCAAACGACCGAGCAGTTTGTATATCACCTCGAGTCGGCTCCGGCCGTCCGAGACAATTTTAAGCAGCTGTTAGTGGGTCTTTTTTGGCACTTGTCTATATCGCCCAATCTATACTTATGCTGTGGAGCCAAGTTGAACCAACACGCTGCTGCCTATTTTGGGCATATACTGGGAACAAAGTTTAAGGTAAATACAGTCTGTGCATAGCCAATGTTATTTCACTGATTCATTGAAAATTAGTTTTCATTTGGCTGAATTCTAAAGACTATTTTAAGACAGCGAGTGCTCTGGATTTTGTTATAACAAACTGTTTTGTACCTGTTGGGGCCAGAGCATAGCTGGTTGACCATACACTTATCAATGTGTTTCTAATGGCTGTGTGCCCCAGCTCACTTTCTCTCTGTCGAAGAAGCTCCGCAGAGTCTGGTATTGGGTTGTTTATAATTTAGAGAGTAGAACCAGATCCATTGGTCACTGGTGTGATTAGAGTGGTCCTGTCCCTCAAGAACTCATCATTTTGTTCAGCTGCTAGAACTAGAATGAGCCTTTTCTAACTTCCTTGCTACAAAACAGAAATTGAAACCATGAGGAGAACAAATAGTGTATGCATTTTAATGGTCTTCCTCCAGACATTACATTTGTTGTGGAATATATTATAGTTTCCAATGACAAACAGTAACATGCTAGATGTTAAAGGAATTTCTCCCTTGATAAAAATGGCCAATCCACCAAAAAATGGTGGATTCATGATAAAACTTATTGTTTTAAATGGCAAATTCTTCGTCACGTCAGGACAAACCTAACATCTGACCAGGTCTTATATTACACTACACCATGGTACTCTGTTTTCCCTTCCCTCTCCCACCGTGCAGGGGGGAAGAAAAGCTGGCTCCCTGGCATCCCATCTGTCAGGGAGGCTTATGGGTTGCCATGTCCCTGTTGCTGTTCGTTGACAATTGGGACAGGGCTGGTTTGGCTGGGTTTGCCCAGGTGGGGAAACTGGTGTTGTCTGCTCTTGTACAACCCAAGAGCTGAAGACTTGTAAAAACCTCCCAGGCTGCTCACATACTCTTTAAAGGCCCCAGCATCCGGGCAAGTGTCTGGAACAGCCTTGGTCCCTTTGGAGTGGTGGGTAGCAAGCAGAATTGTCCCCATTCTGCAGGAATTGTGGGAACAGCCTTGGCTGGTTGGCAAGGATATGGGGGTTCCCTGCAACCAGTGTAAGGTTCCTGGGAACTCTGTTGCCCTTGCTGCCTTGGAGCAATGGTGTTATGGATAAATGTGCACTAATATATTGGTGGCATATTGGTTTGGCACTGACAAAAGGAAAATTAACATTATCAGCCGTGCTGAGAGGGGTGGCTCTGGGGAATGTTGGGGAGGCTATATCCCACTCTGTAGCCACTCCTCCCAGCATAGCTGCTGCCTCCCCTGGAAGAGGCTAGCACAGCCCCTGGCCCTGAGCAGGCAGCCCACCCTTGCCCTGTGATCTCAGGGGGTGGGGGGCTCATGCCCCCCTTGCCTTCCCCTGGGGTGTGCACAGTGGTGGGAGCCACCCCCTGGACAAGCTGCCCGTGGCTCTGCCCCACTCCCAGGGCCCTGGCTGGGCAGCCCCTGCACCTACCCCACTCCCTCTCTCACTGTGGGGGCCTTGATCTGCCCCCCACACCCCTTCTGCACCCCACAGACTTACTGGCAGAGAGCTGCTCTCCATGCTGCCAGGCTGCATATAGGTTGTTGCCAGATCAGTATTAGCCGATATGGCTGGTTAAAAATTGGCCATTGGTATTGGCCAAAAAAATCTTTATTGGTGCACCTCTAGTTGTGGCTGCTGGTGCTCAAACATCAGCAGTTTGTTAAAGCACCAGGTGTTTTAAAGGGCTACCAGGCAGCATGAGACGGACTACAGCACGAGCCTGAGGCCAGTGAGCCTGAGGCTGTCTTCTTGTGGGAGGAGCTGTGAAGCAGTCCCTGTTTCACCTCTTAGCTGGAGACCTTTGCAGTGTAGCTAAGGACCTTGAACACATGGCTCTGTAGCACTCTAAAAATGTCTGGAAGCATCTGAGTTATGTAGCCTGAAGGGATGTTCCTTTTTGTATACTTTGTTGATACTTCTCGAAAAACAATTTTTAGCATCCTGCACCTTGTAAAACCAGTCGCCGTAGATGAGTGAATTGGATCATTTTCTAGTTTGCATAACAGTTGACACTTATTGATATGAGTTGAGTGGTATTTAAAATAGTGTTCTCGCTTCCTTCTTGTTGTGTGGAGATGTACACAAACTGAAGAAATAGGATTTACTCATTTTCACAGTGCTGTTAAGTGCACAAAGTAAACAAATGGCTTTTTTTGTTATGATAAAATCACTCCAAAGTACTGAAAGAAAGAAATTAGATATTTTTAAAAAATTCTTCATTATGTACAGACATTTCACTTTATATTCAATCTGTCATCTTCTAACTAGAAACTGAATGAGAACAATACAAGCAGGTATAATGGGGAGCCTGACAGTACGGAAAGGAACGACACTTCCCACAAAATCTTACAGGTACGAAAACAAAAAGCAGTGTGTTTGACCAGAGCAAATCACTAACTTTACTAGAAATAATCAGAAATGGACAACGTACAAATTAAGCAAAAAGAATTAGGAAGATAATGTAAAAACAAGAAATGGAACAGTGATTTTCTTTTAAATAAATGTTTTTGTCAAAGGAAAAGTCATCTTTTAGCTTAGTACCTGTGTGAATGGAGGACTAAAATGTAGAATTGAAATTGGGAAAGATGGAAACATAGCAAACAAGCTCAGGAGGGGAATTTAAGTGATCAGGGTGACACTGTCATAAGTAGAACATTTAAGGTGTTTCACGTGTCTTCCCTCCGATTCTTAATGACTGTATAAAATCTTTAGTGAAAAAATGCATAGTACCTCAGTTTAAATCAAGTTAATGACCTTTTTATTAAAAAAAAAAAAAAAAAAAAAGGTTTAGAATAACATATATTAATCACATTTCTATATATCACTCTTTACTAGCAAAAGGTTGATTTGGACCTAGAAATAGACCGTGTGCTTGATCAATACCGTGTGCGTTCAAGAAAAGAAGATAAGACAAAGGAGGAAACGTATTCAGAAAAACGAAGTTTTGAGGCAGCAAAAACTATTGAGAAAGCATCAGCACAGACAAAAGAGCTAGAATTTGGTGGAAGAATTGGTATGTATATTAAATCTAGTAATAACCGGAAATTATTAAGCACTAGTTTTTATTCGACACATTGTCATGGTCAAAGGTCCTTCTTTTTAATTATGACCATTCATTTGATGCAGCTGCGTTTTACTTATGGTGGTGATGTTAGATCCCATAACAAACAGAACAATCATAGCAGACTTCATCTTGGGTTTGAGTATTCGGAATTACTGGAGTAAGCTGTCATAGTCTCAACCATCTGGCTTTTCAAATTCAACTGTAATATAGTCTTGTAAAATACACTTTGGAGAGCTATTAGAGGCAAGTTGTTTACTTTGTATTAAATGGAATTACTGTTTAATTCAGTTTTATACCCAAAATGACTTAATTAAGTGTAAAGCTAGGAAATTCAAACAGTTTTTCTTTTCTTAATAATGGCAGAAGAAATTCCTGACTCTGTGATTGGATAAAGACTGGAAGAGTTTATGAAGAGGAATAGTGATAGTAATTAAGATGCCTATGAGATGGTCACTTCCCCCTGTAATAATCCCAGCAAGGCAGAGAGAAGGTGGGAGGGGACAATTATTAAATCTAGAGCGGACAAAACCTATAAAAACAGTTTGTGGCACTATGTTAGTCCAAGCCCTCTGCCAACTGTAAGACTGAGCTAAAACATCTTAGATTAGAAAGTAATTTATTTTTCTGTGAATATTTACAATCTGTAGTGAAAGACAAAGATTCTCACACTGCAAGTTGTGACCCAACTGCACGCATGGTTTTTTACTTGTAAATTGATGTCACATTCTGTATGCTAAGGAATACACAACTCAGTTTCATGGCCACTTGCAAGGTCCACTCTCCAATGGAGGAGAGCCACTAGAGAAGGGGTAGGCAATTATTTCAGCTGGAGGGCCGCTTTAATGCGTTTTGGTGAGCTGTCGAGGGTTGCACAGGTAGCCCTGTCCCCTGGTCACCATCTTGGGACTGGAAGTCCTGTCCCTAACCCCTGACTTTTGCCACCAGAAGTCCCTACCTTTGCCCCCAAAAGTACTCTGGGGTGGGGCGGGGGGTTCCATCTTGGAATAGAAAAAAACCAACAAAATCTTATACTAAAAATCAAACATCTACTATAACATTTTAATTTTATTTAAAAAAATATTCTTTTCCCGATTTGTGTTTGTGTTTGCGTAGTGTAGAGATGATTGCATAATAGCTCAAAAATAAAGCCTTACTCTTGTATATTGTGTGTGGGGTGTGTGTGTATGGTGGGTAGGTAGTGTGCATGGGGGGAGCTTTCCCCCCCAATGACTAAAGCCCTTGCTGCTGGCAGGAGCAGGTGACGGGCCCTCAGGACGCTAATGGCCTGCACAGGGGGAGGCCCCCCCACCCAGTGGTACTTGGCTCCAGCTAGTTCTGGGAGCTGTATGTAGTAGCAGGAAGTGAGGCCAGGTTTGCCCTGTTTCATCGTACCAAATAAACATTTATCATGGTTTTGAAATAAAGAATGGGTTTAGAACTGCTGTTCTAATGGGATAAAACACTTTTATTTTTCATATTCATCTCCTAATATTTTGTGCTCTCTATTTACAGGGACCTTCTGCATGATAGTTTTCATGCCTGCAACTGTGCTTTACTTGCTGTTGATGTGCAAACAGGAAGACCCCAGTATTATGAACTTTCCTCCACCTTTGCCTTCTTTTGATAGCTTGTGGGAAACTAGAGTGTTTGGTGTCTGGCTTGTATGGTTCTTTCTCCAAGCTCTGTTTTACTTGCTGCCAGTTGGAAAGGTAAACTTTTACTAGCAAATGCATTATGGCGAATGATTGTTTTGTAAGTTGGACTTACATTCTTGATACCGACATGAATTCTAATAATGGAAATTAACTAAACTGTAATGTAGATGCTGCAAATTATTCTAACTTGAAATAGCACAATTGTGATCTAGAAAACCCCTTGTTATGAAAACCCCTTATTTTCTGGCATTGTATTCCAGTCCCCACAAGAGAGTGTACGGTAAGCATTATTGTTTAGGGATCAAGTAGCAGAAGAGACCAATAGAATCATAAATTTCCTTGGAAATTGGTTCCAGATCCTAGCCGCCCTGACTGTGAAGTAGTTCTTATGGATATCTAATCTAAACCTACTCTCCAACAACTTGTGGCCGTTATTCCTTGTTATCCCTGGGGGCGCTAGGGGAAACAAGGTCTCCCTCAAACCCTTCTGGTCCCCCCTAGTGAGTTTATAGACAGTCACCAGATCCCCCCTCAGCCTTCTCTTGTGAAGGCTGAACAGGTTCAGGTCTCGTAACCTCTCATTGTAGGGTCTGCCCTGCTGTCCCCGGATCATGTGGGTGGCCCGCCTCTGGACCCTCTCAATGTTGTCTGCATCCCTCTTGAAGTGGGGTGCCCAGAACTGGACACAGTACTCCAGCTGTGGCCTGACCAGTGTAGCATAGATGGGGAGGATCACCTCCTTGGCCCTACTCGAGATGCATCTGTGGATGCACGATAGGGTCCGGTTAGCCCTGCCGACCGTGACCTCGCACTGTTGGCCCATGTTCATCTTGGAGTCAATAATGACTCCAAGATCCCTTTCTGCCTCCGTGCTCTCAAGAAGGGAGTTTCCCATCTTATAAGTGTGCTGCTGGTTACTGCTGCCCAAGTGCAGCACCCTGCACTTGTCAGTATTGAAACGCATTCTGTTTTTGTTAGCCCACCCCTGCAACCTGTCCAGGTCTTGCTGCATATAGATTTATAGAGTAATGTCTTATGGTAAGACCTGAGCAGGCAGACTGGATCTGCTGCTTTTCTAAGTTCCTGTTTGGTTCCACTTAGACATTAAATGACATGCTTCAGATTGTAAGCTTCATTGCTTGGGAAGTCATTCTTGGCTATCCTATCCATATGTATCACAGTACATTTGGACTTGTGTATTGTTCTTTCACCCTGAAGCATCAAATGAAAAAGAGTCGGATGGTTATTTTAGGTTTTTGTTTATAGCGGTTCCTGCATCAGTTGAAGACCATTTTGATTTGGCTAATAATACTCTGCTCTAGGAAACAGAAGTCGATATCATTTTAAACACAATGTCGTAATGCTAATTTGCATGCTTTTCTAGCATAAATTGCATTATAAGGCATTTTAAGTCCTGTCCCTGTTTTTACCTTCTGAGTCACTCTGTTTATAATAGCTGCCTCGTCACTTAGTATGTCCCTCTTGGAGAAATTTCTTTGCACTAAGCCCTCCTAATTAACTGGGAAGATCTACGTACCCTCTTCTGAGCATTCCAGTAGTCTTACCAGCACAGTGTCTTCAGATGCTTTAAAAACTTGTCCTGTAGCTGCTTCTGTATGAGGGTGCACAGACGTTATTCCATGGCTAGTTTAATGCACATTGAGAATTGTAGTTATACCTAGGGTTCATAAAACTAATTAATATGATGTATGGAAATAGGTAGTCCTATCAACACGATGCTGTTATCAGCTCAATCTAGTAAATTAATGAGAACTACTCCATATACTGCTCGTGGTTCCTTTTGTGAAATTTGTGACTTAAAAGTTTACAAAATGTGGCTGTTTACTGATTGGAAGCTTACAGGAGTAAAGTTGACTGCAGATAATACGAAGGAAACTAATTGGGTCACATGAAAGACTAGACTTGCTAGTTCTCATTAAAAAAAAAAACCCAACAACAAACATTTCATGTAACTATAGAAAGTACAGCATTTTTAGAAAGACAACATTATTTCTTTAATTGACTGTGCTCTAATTGACTATCATGATTTGAATTGTCTGCCATGTTAAGAAACAAAAATATTTTAACTATGCTTTTTTGTATCTGTATGCGGGGGGGGAAACTAGTATTTTTAATCTTGTCTCTTCAAAGGTTGTAGAAGGAACACCACTTTTGAATGGCAGGAAACTACAGTACAGGATAAATGGTATGTGTGTTCAGTTTTTTCCCCTTGGGAATTTGGTAATATTGTCTAACCAGTGTCACTCGATGTTGCAAGCTAAAAATGTATTTAAGTGAGAGTAACTGGAAAAATGCACTGAGTTAAAAGAGTTGAAACAAAAAAGCCAAATCTGTATGTAGTTATACCAGCTGGTCATTGTAAATTTAGCACAAGTCAATCTCCACTGCAACAGAAGGAAAGCTAGTAAATTATTAGGAAGGATTTTCTCCCCAGAATATGATGTTACACATCTGAGTATATGAAGTTTTAAAGCTTTGTCTTTGATCAGCTAGCATTCATCATTATTATAGTCATGGCAGTGAATTAGATGTTTCTGTTTCAATCTACAGTTAGGAATCTCTATAATTTAATCACTGTTCACTGGTCCAGTGTTACTTATGGGAGTACCTGTTGAGTCTCCATATTTTAGGTTAAGTTCCAGTTTGAACTTAAAGTGGTAACAAAATCTCTTTTATGAAAAATACAAGGCTGTACTTTTGAAGTACAGAGTGGGTTTCATGGAGTTTCATGCAGATTCTCCAAAAATTCAAACTTTGCTAAAACTGAAATTTAGCATCTGTAACAGCTCTTCCAGCATCTAGAATGATCTTTGTGATGAGGTAAGGCTGAGTTGAAATTAACATTGGCCATCTTGTACATAGGTTATATTTGATGACATTTTGTTGTATTTAAGATGTAGTATAATTTCAACTTCATCCAGTTATGAAAGACTCTAAGCTAAAGACAGGTCAATAAGTCATTTAAATCTATCTTTAAATATTTCTGTTGTGATACCATAGGTAGCTCAGCCAATTGCAGCCCTTCCTCTACAGTTAATTTACAACAGTTCTTTTCATTATAAAAGTATATGTGTAGCATATGGCTGACTGTGCATGTATTGAGCTCTTGTTAGATTACTTGGCGTAACTCTTGTTACTCTTAAAGTTTCTGTAGTTGTCTGTTAGCTTGCTATCCATGCCTCAGTAATAAAGTGACTTAGTAGAGACCAATATTAAGTCCCTCAGAGCGTCTCGTGTATCAGCATCCCCACCCTTCAGAATGGCGATGGGGGGCAGGCTATCTAAAGCTTGTTGAACAAGGTCTAGTTAAAGCACCCCTGCTACCATTTTGAAGTGCAGGGATGCTGATACATGAGATGCAGAGGCTGGCTGGAATGCAGTAATTACCACACTCCAGCAGACTATTAATTGAGTTTGCTCTGATGCGCTTTAATTGCACTATATTAGAGCAGCCTCCTAGCTCGTGTACAGGCACCCTAGGAGACCAGACTCCTAGTGTCCCTCCACCTTTACCATTTGAGCAAGTAGTGTATCCCTCGGGTTTCTTGACTGATTCTCTAGTCCAGTTCTCAACTTCTCCATTTCCCCTGTCCCTCTCCAGGACACAGTCTCAGAAGTGCCATCCTGTGTTTCTGCTAAAGGGTGCTACAGACTCAAGCACTCCATCCCATTCACTAGTGTTTGAATGATCCTTTTGAGCTTTTGGAGCATTGCAGTGTGTGTTTAGATGATAGCCAAAATAAATATTTTTCTTTCTATTGAGAACATGATACTGATGTCTAACCTTATATACTAGATACAGCATATTTTGGAATCTGATATTTGGATTTTGGGTAGGTGAGGATTGGTTGGGGTCATTCTGTGGTTCCTATTTGCTTGTCAGCATAAGGACCCTCAAGGAAAGGACTATGATCCCTAAAGAACACTTCCCCAAAAAATGAGTTCAGGTGCACAAAGCACAGGATGTCATTAATGGAATATGCAGAGAGAGCAGCCCTCAAAGAACCAGTTCTAGAAAGACAAATGTTTCTTGCTGAGGAGAGAGATCATTTAAGCACTTGCTTAAATGGCCAGCTGATTTGGGGCTCATTCAGTACATATTTAGTATAAAAGTAAAATGATTTAGGTATTTGGAGTATCTTTAAACCTGGATGCATTTTTCAAAACTCTAGAACCCTGCTAAGGTGGAATGATTGCTCCAAGCTCTCTGGGTTTTGATTTGATATTAGACTTACGTTTTGGTTTGTTTTTTTTCTTTTAGGATTCTATGCTTTTGCTCTAACTGCAGCAGTCGTAGGAATATCTTTGTATTTTGAATTAGAGCTTCATTATTTGTATGACCACTTCCTGCAGTTTGCAGTCTCAGCTATAGTTTTTTCTGTGGTGTTCAGCATTTATCTTTACATTCGATCTCTGAAAGCACCTGAGGAAAATCTGTCACCTGGTGGGAATTCTGGTAAGTCTGAGAAAATCAAATCTTTCCTTTATCATGATTTTTCGTTGTTTTTATTCCATGAACAAAACTTGTCTAAATCATATTTATGTTGATAGGCACCTAGCACATTGCAAGCAAGTCACCTCTTTGCCCCATCATGGACATTTACAAATATTTGTTTCCACATACACTCATCGGCCCCCCTGTCCTGTCATATTATCCCATAAACTTAATCAGTTCGGTTTTAAAACAATTCAGGCTCCTTGCCTCTATCACTTGGCTCAAAAGACGATACCAAAATTTCATTTCTCTGGTACTTAGTGTTCTTCTAATTTACAGTTTGATTTTTTTCATAACCAGTTCGTAGCCATTTTATCCTGTGCCCTTCTTGAATTTTTTTTGGCTAGAAAACTTCCCCCTCTAATTTTCATGATATAGTAGTAAAAAATAATCGCATCTCCTCCTGATGATCTTTGGTATTCTGCTACACGTCAGGCTCCTTGAATCTTCTTTCATACAAGAAGGTCTTTGTTTTCTTGGCCATCTTAATTACTTGTTCCAGTTTAACTTTTTTTCTGAACTTTGGTGACCCCAGTTGCAGGCAGTATTGTAAATGGAGGGGGAGAGGGGTCTTACCTGGGCTTTATGGAGCAATACTAGTACTTCCTTGTCTTTGTTTAATATACTGTGCTGTGACAAACTGCTGTGGGGATGATCAAAGCCCCTCCAGATCCCACTGTTCTGCTCTCTCTTTACAGAACAGACTAGATTTTGCCCCTGGGATAACTCCTTGCTCAAGCAGACTTCATTCTCTTCAGCCCCTGACATCTCACTGCTCCAGTAGGGGAAACTTGGCCAATTTATGAGATCTTTACCCTTGGTTTGCAAAATAAAACAGACCTGTCATTGCCATAGGAAAAACAAATACCCATAGTTGTTGATAATTCTGAAAAATCATTCTTTCCACAGACATGCTGTAAGGTATATAAAGCAAAACCCACCCCCATCTTTCTTATGTAAGAAAGATCATTGCAGTAATTTGGAGGCCAGATACAGAAATAAAATAGAAAAATCATGCACTTTGACCAGAAAACAGTCCCTCAGGGATTTTTTTGCATTTCTAGGGACCTGCTTCCCTGCTTGCTCTAACAGCAAGGACTTGGCACCAAGGTTTTTAAATGCACTTCTCGTCAGGCATCTCTTAAATATTTATCGTGCCTCCCACATAATACAAATACTAACACCAGCATACTACTTCACTAACCCTGGGTGAACAGGGACTGCTCCTTCCTCACCAAAGCACTCCCCCTCTAGTTCCCTTATGAGTTAGCTCTCACTGGTCTTGCCCCCCAGCAATGGAAGGAAAAGTTTTTCTTTTTCCAGTGTTTAATATTTTGTTTCATATAATCTTTCATGACTTTTGCCCTTGTTTTTTGTGGTACGAAAAAAAGAAATTGAAACAGTAGGTAATAGCAGTGGAAAGTCAAATGCAGAACATGATATTACATTAACTCAGTGTTTTATTTGGCAGTTAGTTTAATTTGGGTTTTGGAAGAAATGATTTTTTGTTGTTTTGCTTTGTTTTGTTTTTACTTGTTTGGGTCTACACATTTACATAAAGGTTTTACAGGGTTAGTAGGAAAAAATGGACTGACTGGCGACTGTATAAAGAAAAAATGGAATGATATTTTTTCCTTCCTAAACATTCAGTTATAGTAGTAGTAATATTGACATGTATCAATCAGTACAGGTGGTAGCTTCACCTGGCTAAATATATAGAAGCGGGTTTTCAATAGGACATTAAATTGAGAGCTGGTTTTTAGAATGGTAGTGTAAGAGGCAAAGATGAAATGAAGCAGAAGTAAAATTGAGGGATTGTGCTTACTGCTTTTCTAGTATGGTGTACTTCTCAAATATAGCTGTAGTCTTCAAAATGATGAATATTAAAAACTGGTTTAGTTACTGTCCAGAAGTCTTTTTAATAAGTAAGTGTTGGCTCAGCTTGGAATCTATGCAGTTGAGGCAATGTTCTTTCTTTGTCCCTCATAAAAAATTACTAACCAAGTTTATGCCCTGTGTTATGCCTACAGCATTATTCTCTCCTCTCTTACACAGAGCGGTCATACATTTTAAAGAGGCACAATTGCTTTTTTTGGTTTAAACCTGCTGTGTTGTGTTGGTATTGCCTTCTAGCAAAGAAAGTAAAGAAGGGAGGAAAAAACTAAGGACGGTTTTAATAACATATGCATGGGATTCGTAATGTCCCTTGATAACAGAAAGCAAAGTTCCTCAAGCCAGTAAGGATGAAGGGATATAGCCAAAAAGCAAACTTCAAGTAGGAAAGACTTGAAAATAACTTTTAAAGAAATTGGGAGAATGTAAACACATGTGCTAACATATGAGGTCTCTTAAATTTTTTGAAGAAACCGTTAGTGGTTACTTTTCACACTTCAAAATGGTGCCGATATTCATACGTGTTCGGTGATAAATTTTATTGTACACTTTCAGGCTTATAGCAGCATTTCTAATAACCATTAAAGTAACCATTTTATGGATAGTGGGAATGTGGGGAGAAACCAACCAAAAACCATTAATGGAAGAAAGTGCGTTTTGTTTGCAGGGCGCTTTATATACGACTTCTTTACTGGCCGTGAATTAAACCCTCGCATTGGAAATTTTGACCTCAAATACTTCTGCGAGTTACGTCCAAGCTTAATTGGCTGGGTGAGTCAGAGTATCTTTACCTATCTTGTTCCACTTGCTCAACTTTAATAAAGTTTTAATTGTGGTAGAAGGGCTATAACAGTTGGAGGATGGAAAAAGTATGCAAAACAAAGGTCTGCTGAAAGCCACGAGACTCTCTTTATCCTCATGGTTTTATAAACCTTGATCAATTAAAATTTACTGCTTTCCTTCAGGGAAGAGGTATTCTAACAGTTAAGGATAGACCATGCTTGCTTGCTTATTTATTTGTTTAAAACTAGGATAGCTACTAAGTAGCTTCTTAATAAAAAATGGATTTTTAATGTTATTTAAATTTTGGATCTAAATTGCTTGACTTTTAAGATGAATTACAGTGTAGTAGAAATAAGTGTTTTTAAGTGTATGTGAAAAACTCATAGTAAAGAAAATGACTGCTTTTTCAGGTGGTTGTGAACTTGGCAATGCTGTTGGCTGAGATGAAGATACATAATCAGAATGCGCCATCTTTGTCAATGATACTGGTTAATAGTTTTCAACTTCTGTATGTAATGGATGCTCTTTGGCATGAGGTAACTGCCAGACCTTTTCCAATCTGTAGCACTTTTGGTTAAATAGCTGACAGACAAGTATACTGATGCTCAGTGAACTGTACTTTTCTTCCCCAATCTGTCCAGGAAGCTATCTTGACGACTATGGACATTACCCATGATGGGTTTGGATTCATGCTAGCATTTGGAGATTTGGTATGGGTTCCGTTTATCTTCAGCTTACAGGCTTTCTATCTAGTCGGTCATCCAAATGAGATTACCTGGCTTGCTGCTTCTGCAATTATTATTCTAAATAGTAAGTCATGATTATTTTATTACTAATGTTTTATTTCCTTTTTTCTGAGCAAAGCAAATGGATGAAAGATTTTCCTGGCACTCAAGTAAACCTGTGTTCAATAACTTGGGAAGTTGTTCAGTCTCAGTTCCCCGTTTGCTATAACAAGGCTGGTTATATTACTTTCACTTGCATTTGTATACCCTACAAGTTGATGCCACTTACAGCAGTTAACAGGGGTAAGGTGTAATAGCTATCCATTTCTAGCATTTAGATTTGGATACATAAAAACAGGGGAAAAATGAATTACCTAGGATGTTGTTTGGCTAAGGAAGTAGTGCAAATACTAGAATAAACTCTCTCACATTATAAATTGGTGGTAAGCAATTTAGCCATTAGGTTAGTTAACTCTTTTAGCGTTGCCTTTTTAAAAAAAAAATTGCAGCTATACAATTCAAAAAATATATCCGCTGCTCTGCCCAAACCCTCCACAACCAATCCTGCACGTTCAAATCAGTCTGGAACAGAACATTCGTTCCTGTTTTTAATTTAATCTAAGAAAAAATTAATTGCTTGTTGAGTAATACATTTTTAAATACCCTTTTTAAAAACATGATATGCAGGGCCTGAGATTTACATTAAAGGGGGAGGGGGAAACAAAACCCAAACAGGGGCCTGGCATTGTGGCATGCAGATCATCCCTCCTCCCACTAATTATCAGCGGCTTTGTTTGTTTACTCTACATGGCCCACATGTAGTGGCATATGTTGGCATGTCATTTTGTTGCATCTTGTTTTCCCAAACAAAAACTTATTTGTAGGGCTGTCAAACAAAGGGAGGAGAGGCAGCCTTGGAAGCAAATTTAATGTGAATAAACTTGATATATCTACTTCTCAAGACCTGCAGCCTGCATTCTTTTTCCTTTTTCAATTTATAAGCTTCTCTCATTTTGGGGAGAGGCTGAAACTTTCTTCCACATTCCTTCCCTCACCTACCCCTCTTGGGGTGAGGGACAGACAACCCGTATGAAATCGTCCTTATACTTTCATGTATGCTTTGATTCTAAACACGAAAAGTGCTAGTTGTTGTTAACTGAATTAACTGTATTCAAGGAAGATTTAGCATCCCAGATGATAAAAAAATAAATAAAATTGTATGTTTGCAGCCATCAGACGGTATCCTCGATTGGGCTATGTGAGCAAATAGAGCATTGAGGCTATTCGTAGTGTACTGGGGGAGTGGGTGACTGTCATCATGTCTTGTAATTACACTGTGATAAGTGAGGGATTGGCAAGCTATTACTAATGGCAGGATGTGGTCTGTGACTTGGTTAGTACCATTGGCCACTGTTTCCTTCTGGCTGCTCTCTTGCCCCTCTGCAGCCTCAGCTGGAAACTTGTTGCTGACAAACCTGCTGTGCAAGAATTTTGGTGGCTATTTTGGCAGCGACAGTGACTAGAGGCCATAGTGAGAAGAGCAGCTATTTGGACAAAGCAGAAATGCTGTGCAGTGCAGTGCAGGGGTTTGGCGCATTGTTAGTAAAATGTGGAGCTTGAACATGGGCCAAATGGCACAGCTGGGGACCAGCATGTTGTTAATAAAACATGGGCTAGATTGCACCTTTGCTGGCTGGATCCAGTTTTTTGTGGGATAGATCCAGGCCAACTCCTATGATACATCATTGAACAGGTAATCTATCAGAATAAACGTACGTGCGCGCGCGCGCGCGCGTGTGTGTGTGTGTGTGTGTTGTAGGGGGGGGGAAAAGGTAGGATAGAAATTGGGAACCTGCTGTGGGTCACAATAGAAATTTCAAAACCCAGCCAGTGTTTTAGATGAGCAGTAAATCTGGAACATAAAGATTCCCAAAGTCTTAGATTTGTTAAGCGTAAATGCGCAAATACAGTATAGCACGCATGTAATATTTTGAAACCCATATTGCAAACAAGCTTCTGTTAGAAGGGGCTGGGAGTTGAAGAAGGATGACTTGTATACCTCAAGAAATGACTGTTATAATGAATGTAAAATTACGCAAGAAGGTGTTCTGTTGAAGAAAATGGGTTGCTTAGTTTTCTTTTTCAGAGTTTGCAAATATGAAATGAAAACAACTAATACATTATTTCTTTTCAGTGTCTGGGTATTACATTTTCCGTTGTGCAAACTCACAAAAAAATGCATTTCGGAAGAATCCAAAGGATCCCAGATTGGCCCGTGAGTACCTTTTTTAGTCATTTCCTATTTTATTTTCTTTAAGTTCTCTTGCATATGCTTTCAATGCAGTTTTAACATATGATACTTTGCATGCTGCTTTCTGTACACAGACTTGAAATGTATTCCTACTGCAACTGGAAAAAGTCTGCTAGTCTCAGATTGGTGGGGTTTCGTTCGTCACCCTAACTATCTAGGTGACGTCATTATGGCTCTGGCTTGGTCTCTACCATGTGGTAAGTTCCTGAAACTAAAGTGCTTGCTATCAGAAATGCATGTGTGCTAGCATCTGACTTCCATTCCTAATGGAAATGAATGATGATTCCAGAGGGCCTGGCATCTTAAACAGAATGTCAGACTTCACACTTACAAACCTGATTTGAAACCTGGCTCCCTACTACATAGCTTCTTCTCTTCCTCTTGGGATTCATCTCAGTTCTTGGCTTTACCTCTGATCCTTCTCTGCACCAGTGTTGTCTGGGGAGGGCAGATGGCTGATGACCTCATTCATTCATTCATGGCCTGCCAGCTACATTATGGCTACTTTCAGTGGTGTATCACCAATCATGGTTAGAAGTTTAAGTATAAAATATTGAACTGACTGCCCAGAGGAGTTTTCCATCTGTTGACTCCTCTGTGAAATCCTATGAAATATGAACTTTCATTTCTACTCAGGAGAACTATTACAATCTTTTCTCCAATGCCTGATGAAAGGGGTTTGTGCCTGAAAGCTTGCAATTAAAGACTTTTTTTTGCAAAAATCTTGTTGGTCTAATAAAAGGTATCATCTCTACCTCTAATAAAAGGTATCATCATTTTATACTAGGCCTGATTGCTAGTATAAAATATTCTAATTCAAATTCATCTGTCTGATCAAATGCAAATGGATGCAGTTGTATTGGAAATCTTATTACTGAGCATCTCTTAGTTCTTTTTATTTTAAACCTCATGAAATTTATACCTTGGTATTTCTTTTTCAAGTGGAATGGAAATTGAGGAAACGTATAACTTCTGTTTTCAGAAAACTATCAAACAAATTGAATTAAAAAAATCTAAGTCAAATATTTAGAAGCTGAAATTATGATAGTTTAAGTTAATTTAAACCTCACTACCCAAATTCTTTTCTAATTCTGAGTTTGGAGATAACATGTCCTGGTCACGATACAACTTTAACTCCACACTTCCTTGCTTTTGTATGCATCTCTCAGAGCCCTTTTTTGTCTCTGCTTTGGCTGAGTATCCTCATTAGTTGTTGTCAGTGAGTGCCAGTGCAAAATAATTTGTTTTAATATTTAAAAATGCCCCCCCCCCACTGCTTTCTGTGTTTTATAGATCAAATTGAACCATCCTTTTCTCCTGCATTCTTTGTGCCTATCACATTCACATACAAACATGTGAAAAACAATCCCCAAAACAGTTTAGTCCAAAATAGAGCCCAAGGGCTAGGATCTCAATGGAGATTGTCTCAGTGTTGTGATTCTTAACTTTTGGGCACCAAACTGAATTTCCATTTTGAAATCAGATAACCGAGAATGGGATTCCCAAAAGTCAGCACCCTGAGTGAGGAGCTGCCTAACCCAGCCAGTAGGGAAACACTGGAAAGGGGACTGTCCTAATCTTTCCCCTTTCAGGGACTTGTCTCCCTACAGTTGAAGTTCATAGCCCTGAACCCTCGTGTGAGGGAGCTGACAATTGGAAGTCCCACAGCATGTCATGTATTTCAAAGCTTTATATTTTGTACTCTATCCAAATAGCTAAATGGAAATGTTCAGTGACTCTCTAACTCTGTTTACAGGCTTTAATCACATTTTACCATATTTCTATGCGATTTACTTCACCTTGTTCATCATTCATCGAGAAGCTCGTGATGGACGTCAGTGTAAGAAAAAATATGGTTTAGCGTGGGACAGATACTGTCAGCGTGTACCATACCGCATAATTCCTTACATCTACTAAACACTCCAGGAACATGGTTTGCAAACTGCTACGAAATTACAGCTATTTTGCAAATAAAAGCATACCTCTTACCTTTGCACTTGGCCTATTTGGTAAATTATTTAGGCTTTTAAAGATGTGATTAAGCAGTCCAGTGTAGTAGCTGCATTTAACAAATAACCTCATGTGCATTAGTTATGTTAAATGGACTGTCTCATTGGTGACTTTTAGAAACAACTCTGAAAAGGAGGAAGAATTTAGTGCAAGGTCAATCAAAACTATGGAAATGTTTGTATCTGGGTTTTTTTTCTAATCTTGGAGTCCGGGGGGGGGTTGGTTGAGTTCAGGTTTAATTTCCTGAGTTTACATTTTAAAATTACATTTCATTGAACACTGTGATGTAAAATAGGTTTTTGTTTCTTCTAAAAGAATAACAGGATTTTCAGCCAGCTTGTTCTGGAATTGCTAGCTGGTTTCTGGACACGTGCAGCCAAAAACCGTAGTCCTGCATCCCATGAGAAATGAAAGGCAATTTAGAGTGTGGTGCAGGCTTGTGCTGCCTCTGAAATAAAATGGCAATAGTTGGCTTACACTGTGTTATGTAAAATATGTCTTAAATGTACCATAGCACCCCCTGATTGTATAATATAAACCTTCCCGGTTTTGCTGTACAGTGTTTGAATGTGAAATGCAATAACTTGTTTAGGAGCAGAAGAAGCTTTTTAACTAAAACCATTTCCAGTATTTTTTTAAAAATTGTCCTTTAATAAGGGTTTTTGTAAAGTAATGTATGGATTTAATTCCTGAAACAATTGAAGTGTTCATTTAAATATTGTATTGACAAATATACTATGAAAATATAGAAAATATGCTCTTCAATCCAAAGTTTGTGAATTTGGCAACGCTACCTCAAATGCAGGTTTGCCTTTTATACTGTTGCAAATAGGGAAAAATAGCTAGTTTTTCACTATCGCTATTTAATTTTTTTACATTAACCTGTGACTTAAGCTTACAACCACACTAGCTAATATATTTTTGTATATATTTTGACTTTTTAACTAATGTGAGTTTCTTAGCAACTTGAATTAGTTGTCTCAATATCTGTGAATCCTCCCCTATTGCAATAGTTTAATTTCTACTTAATAAATTGTAAGTGGATAAATTTGCATTTTAATACATGAAGTTTATAAGGCCAGAGAGATGCTAAAACATTTTTGTATTGATTAACTTTAGGAACTAGTTTTTATCCTTTTCTGTCTTTTTTTTTTTTAAATTGGTAGTTTTTTGGGTACTTCCAATAAGAGGATGTAGGGCACGAATTGCCCCCAAAAAGACTTACTAATAATGATTTTCTCATTTTAATTGTACTGTGAAGGGAAATTTAAGTACCTTCATGGTTATGATTTGTAGCGAGTTTTCTGTTTTGTTTTTAGGTTGAATAGTTAAGTGTGTTTTAAAATAGTGATGCAATTGAAATCTAGTGTGTGTTTAAAATGCTTTATTTTGTACATGAGCCATTTTAGTTACTATTGTACATTTGAAGTGTATATAGCAGAACTTGTTGAAGATGATCATGTCTGTTCTTCAGCAGGCTATGGCCTCAGAAGGTCCATGTAGCTGTTCTAGGGAAAATGTTCTAATCTGGACATTTTCATTCTTGGAACAAAAAACAAGTAGTGGTATTTGTAACAGCATTGAAGGAGGCTTATTAAATTTTGTCACCACATGATGAGAGCAAATGATTTAACATTCTGTGTACTCTTCCTTCAGAGACATGGCTCCTGGCTGATGTCGATTCTGTCCACTCTCGTGTGTTAGCTGTAAAATTGACTTGCAAGTAGAATGCTTAATACAAACACATTTGTAAGCTTCAATAAAGTTTTGTTTAAAAATGGCATCATGCGTAGTTGACTGCACATTTCTGTATCTAACTACATGTCTTCAATGAAGGATCAACTAGAATCATGTATTATTTGAGAAACTAGTTTTCAGGTGTCAGTGTTCACTTATACTTTTTTGGCCCTTCAGGCGCTTGCATCTGGGGGACTACAAAAATAAATGGTATTGCCTCTCCTATATCATCAACTGTATGGGAACCTCAAGACTTCTTACTGAAACAACAAACCCATGCTACCTCTCCTTCCTGCAGGGGGTTCCAGGGCTCATGCTTCATTCATGTTGTAGAGCAAAGGATCCTCCCCCAACCCCCTTACTACTTTTGCACTTTCAAACGTTCTTGTTCTGGGGTGAAAAGGGACTGGGATTGGGACAGAAGGAAGGCAGTGGCTTGAGAGATGGGAAGCCTAGGTTCTCTGTTCTGCCACATTGCCGGGGACAGTTTGCCCTTTGCAATGTCTTGGGACAAACTATCACCACACACTCTGTGGCAGCAGATTTTGGGCTTTGTCCTGGGACACTTGTGAAGGATGTCTGAACAGACAAATGTACTATGAAAATAGTATATTTTCCTGCCATAGCTTGTCCTGCCATAAACAGGATGCCTGTGTCTACCCCAGAGTGTCTAAACCTATTTGTAGAGAATTCATCAGCTAATTCAGGAGTTCTTAGGGTTGGCAGATTGATTGTTGTTACAAAGTTAGTGGATAGACCTGTCCATGACAGTATTTCAGCTCTTTGGGGAGTTTGGTAAAGTGGACATTCATAAAGCATTAGGTTGTTTTGTACTACTACTGGACATGTGTTAACCTAATTCAATATTTGTAGAGAACCAACACAAGAAGAAAGTGCACAATAGACTGAAAATACATGGTTTGATATACATAAGATTTATTTAAGCTAAGGAGTGGATTTTCACATTTTTTAAAGTACTTCCTTCTCCTTTTAAATAGCACTTATATTCTATAAAGAGCCCAGATGAACTGCTGATAGTTTCCACAGTATAACCATTCTTTCAAGAGACTAAAACACCTTTCCACCAGATGGAGTTTAGGAACTTTTGCTCCTCCTACCCAATCCCCCCGCCTTCCCCTTCCCCAATTTTAATGATCCAGTTGACATAACAATGCAACCCCTCTTGTTATCCAATAGCTTGGAGTTCTTAGGGTTGGCAGATTGATTGTAGTTACAAAGTTAGTGGACAGACCTGTTGATGACAGTATTCCAGCTCTTTGGGGAGTTCGGTAAAGTGGACATTCATAAAGTCTTAGGTTGTCTTGTTCTTCTGGACAAGTGTTAACCTAAAAATAAAATTATTTTAGGTTGCGTAGAAGTTGGTTAAATTCTTTTTATATTTTACAATTATGGTCAAGTATGTAGTTGTTCTTTTGGTTTATAAACTTAATCAAATGAAAATGAACTTTCATTAAGGCATCTGATCTCATTGGCTTAGAGAGAGTTATATCTAGCCTTTCCTGGAGGAAAAATGGTAGTTAAAGCCTAAAAAAAGAGGCCACTAGCATTTACAACAGCCAGTCAACTGATATGAAATTCACATTTGTTTGCTTAAATTGCATAGACCACTGCTAGCAAAACTTAATTAAGAAGCATAAGTTTTACCTTGTGTGGTATAAAAACCATTTTGGGGAATAGGTAAAATCTCTCCTGAAGCCAGGGCTCTTCCAGCAGATTGGTAGTTGTGTTCCATCGTGCACTATCTATATATAAGCCAAAAACTAGAACACCATTTTCAGGGGGGGCAGATCCCTATGATCAGACAGAAGAAAATGCTTTGCTGAGGGTGAGGACACGTCTTTCCCAGCATTCATAAGCTTTCAGAAAAGCTAAACTATATTAAAAAGTATTGAACTGTTTCAGTTCTGAAGTGCTTTTACATGTATTGGTAATGATTATTTTACATATTGTGATATAATAAAACACAAACTTGCCTTTTAAGTCACCACAATGTGCCCTAAAGCTAATTAATGCTTTTTCTGTAACCTCCTCCCATTAATTTTGTTGTATGGTTGTCAGGGCAGGAACTCCCCAGTGCCACAAGGGGTCCCATTGTTCTCCAGGGCAATACTTTGTATTGTCTAATTCTAATTCTCTACTAAACTATAAATGGACAGTTCTTACAAAGCAAAGGTACTGTATGGATACATTAACCCTTGGCACCAGCTACAAATGGACTTTCACTCGATGAGCTGTTGTGAGGTAGGTAGTTGTGTGTTACTCCGATATGCATTGCTACCAAAACCCACTCTCAAACCCTACGAGCACTATGGACAGAAATTAAATGGAGCAGTTAAGGAATAGCCTGCAGAAGGCACAAGTAGTACATAAAATAAAGCAACCTTCTGCTGTAGGCTTGACTTTGCCTGCTACATCTAGAGTTGCTGGCTTTAAATTATTGCATCCCCTACCTTAAAAGCAGCGAGAAGTATATTCTGTTTTCTCTTTGTATCTTTGAGATGACATTCTTCATCCTCAGCCACTGGGAGAACTCTATGGACAAATGTAAGAGTATCCACCGGTATGCCATTCTGGCGAGCATAATTCTGAAGCACGGCAGTAAGAAAGCCTAGAGGAATGAGAGAGACTAATCTGTTTGCTGGGTGTGACATGCAAGCATTCTGTACTCGAGAAGCAGGAAGAGAGGAAAAGGAAGAATCCTAGTTTGTATTTGAGATGGGCCTCAAATTAAACTGCATTTGCTTTACAGTCCTGAACTCAAAATGACTGGAGAACTGGCTTCATGCAGTCCCTCCAGCTCGATGGCTTTTAGATCAGTTTTGCCTTGTTCACAAATATTTTGTTTCCAAAGGCGATCAATGGACTCATTTACAACCCTTTATTTGACCTGTGAGTGATCATCCTTGACCATGAGCAATCACTGCCACTGCTGATTTGTTCAACAGTCCCATGGCACAGAAATATATAATGCTATTTTTCTGTTTTTCAGCATAATACTAGATAAACCAGCTAAAATATTAGACAGCACTGTTGTATAATCATGATTTGAGTTAATTTTACAGTAATGCTTTTTCAAAGAATGCATTAAACATTCAGTAAAATCAGGATGGGTATTGTCAGCCTTCCTCCCTCGGTTAATTTTGTGCTGCTCATTTTACACCTAACATGAACGTGAGTGGCGTATATGCAGTCTGGTTGTTATTACAGTTTAATAACCAATATGTCTGTCTTGTTTTCACTGAAATCAGTTGTGAATGCCAAAAAGTTTTGATTGTATAATTTGTAAAGTTGTATAATATCAGCCTGGTTGTATTTAAATACTTAAATAAAGGTAGAATAGTACTTGGGACGGATTGCCAGTACCATTGAATAAGCTGCAGCATTATTTTGTAACCTACAAAATGCTCAGTCTGAATTACCCTTAAAAAATTGCTGAAAAGTAAGTATCAACTGGCCAACTTTTTCCAAAAGAGTCCTCTCCATTTTGTTAAGTCAAATGAGTGTCTAAAACTTGGTCAGCCAGAAGTTATAATAAAATTATATCAAAGCTAATTATTAAGTGAATGTGTATTGGCAAAGTACAAGAACTGGTGTGATTTATTTTTGTAGCAGTGATTGAAGAGAACATGCCCTAACAGAGGGACCTTTGGCAGCCTTAATTACTTGAAAATTACATTAGGACAGAGCTAGGGGGTGGTGGGGTGGGGAGGTGGTGGAACAGAGCCTCCTTGCCTCAGACCCAGCCTGGATGGAAGTTGCTTGAGACAAAGCAGGGGTGGGCAAAATATGGGCCCTGGGCTGGATGCAGCTGGTGGACCGAATTTTATATTTTTATTTTTGTCCAGTAGTTCAGGCACGGTGGCAATAGGGGCAGGGCACGCCGCAGCCCAAGCCCTGTCACCTCCCCAAGATCCTGGTGTCTCCATGGAGACAGCCTGGGAGCTGCAACAGGATCTGGGATCTTGGGGTGGTGACAGTATGGGGTCTTGGTCAGGACAGAGCTATGATCTGTTTTCTGCATGCCCCTGCCCATGGAACCTGTGCCTGTTTCAGCGGTGTGTGGGCAGCAGGTTGCAACCCTGCCCCTCCCATTCCTGAACACTGCTCTCAGCCTGCCTGCCGCCCCATGCCACATAGGGTGTTTTGGTGAGTCGTTGCACAGAGTGGGAGGGTGCTCACTAGGGCTGTGCGAAGCTTCGGTCCCTGATTCAATTCGGTGGCCAAATCTCCAAATTGAATCAAAGGACCCTTTAATCTCTCCAAATTGAATCGGAACCCTCCAAATCGATTCAGAATGATTTGGCGACTCTAACATAGACACAGCCTTAAATGTTTTTTCTACATACCTCAAGGTAGCAGGCGGTTCATGAATGCTGAGATGTTGGGGCGCATGGAGCATCCCACAGGAGCGCATGGGGCTCCCCAATGCACTTAGCAGCAGACCCACAAGTGGACCAGAAGCCCTTATGGGTTCGCCAGGGACCGCGCAGGGGGGCCCCACCAGCTTGGTGACTGGTGCCTCCTGCATCTGGGGGGGGCCCCCGGGGTCCCCCGTGGCTGATTGCTGAGCAGGGTGGCCCCCCTGTGCTCCCCGACAAACCCGAAAATGGACTGGAAGTACGTCCAATCCACTTCCGGGTTCACGGCCGAGCCCGTGGAGAGCCCCCCTGCATTCCTGTGAGACGCTCCATGCGCCCCAGCATCGCAGTGATCATAAGCTGCACTGGTACCTCGAGGCATGTAGAAAAAATTTAAAGCTGTGTCTGTATCCGAATCGCTGATTCTCTGACTCCGCATCGAATCTTCACATTCGGATTCGGCTGAATCAAGTTGGGGACAGTGATCCAAATCAACAAATCGAATCACTGTCCCTGATTCGGGCCAAATCAATCCAAATCAAATAGAGCCTGCTTCACACACCCCTAGTCCTTAGTTGGCCTTTGACATCTCAATAAAACTACCTTTGTGGCCTGTGGGCCAAATAATTGCCCAGCCCTGAAACAGAGGAGAACCTTGGTGGCAAACAGGCCTGCCAGTGGTTTTTCCCACTCGGTGGGAAATTAACTTGTTGACAGATTTCTGTACTGACCTCTCTTGGCAGTTGACAGCTTGCTCAGGAAACCTGCAAGCACATAGCTAATTTCTGGGAAAGCAGAGAGCTCCTGCAGTTATGCCATCTGATTGCCTTGCTACAAACAAAAGAACAGATGCCCCGTTGCTTATTTAGTGCAAGGCTGATATATTTCCAGGCTCCAGCTGTACCACTAACTGCACCTCTAGCCCTGATAGCTATCATTATTCAAGATTCCAAGCTTATGTGCAAGAAGCACGTGCGTGCCTATAGTTGGGTCCACACTTATATTTCCCCAACAAAATAGTGGCTATTTAGTGTTACTGAATGTCTATTATTACCATACCTTGTGGGAAGAAAAATCCTGGAAGCCAGAATTGATTAGGGGATCCTTGAACGCCGGTGTTAGGATTCTCACTTATTTGTGACAAAAATGGTATCCTGGATGCTTTGGCTTGCTTCTGCAACATCGTTAAATTGTTATACCTGTTTTTAAATAAAAGGTGCATTAGCTGCTTAAGTAGGGTGTTTAACATGAACACACACATGCACACACATGACCAACTTTGTCACTTATTTGGAAAGATATTTATTAGTTATTTAGAAAATGAACTAAATTTCCTAGTACATTTTCTAAAGATAGGTGAAGAAACTAAATATTTACAGACTGAATATCTGAAATCAAAGCAGTAAGATGGTAGCAAATCTAGCTATTGAATAAACTGAGTGAATGCATGATGTGAATTTTAAAGTGGCTCTTCAGTACGTCTGTGATTTATTATATTTATAAATTTGATACAACATATTCCGGATACACAGTTCAACGGTTATCTTCTTTTCTGTAGGTGAGCAGAATAGCTATATGACACTAGCATACAAGTTAGGAGCCAAATTTTGCTCCTCTTGTTTGCATGCATTTGTGCACAGCTGGTCATGTGATAAGTCAAGCAAGATGAAGATGCATTTTTCTAGCGACCTAAGAGCTGACATGCTTGTCATTCTTGGGCTCAGTATAAGGACTTTTAAGCTAATATTTATGGCAGGCTAAACATGTTGCCATGTTGTTTATTCTAGTCTAGATTTTTAAACCTATTCTTAAAAACAAAATAAACCCAAAGTCAGTGGTATGAATGATAGCATCTCTGCTCTAAACCAGGGGTGCTCAACCTCCAGCTCTGGAGCCAGCCTGTGTGTCTGTGTCAGCTGGCCTGTGAAGCTCCCCACAGGTCCAGAAATATGATGGTGGGAGAGCAGTGGCACACTTTCCCTGCTGCCCAATATCCAGCTCCATGGGGAGACCCAGAACACTGGGCTGGGAGGGGGTGGTACTGGGCCTGGGGGCCTCATACTGGGCGGGGAGGGGAAAATGCCAGAGCCCAATCTGGTCTGCAGATCGGCTCTGCGCCCCTCTAAATGTGCTTGTAAGCATGAAATCAAAGTTTTACTGACTTTAACAAAGCCAGGATTCCCTGCCGTGTACATTGACTGTTGAAGCAGGCATGCTTCTCCATTTACAACATCTGGCAGTGGTGTAACTACAGTGGGGTGAGGGGCAGCTGCTCTGGGTGCTGAGTTTTGGAGGGGGAGGGTGGGAAAAACTGGCTGCCTCCATGTGCTTGCACTGGTAGTGCAATGGCAACCAGATGTCGCTGCTTCTGAGAGTGTGGCAGCTGCCCCAGGATCTTGGCTGTTACACTTCTGATACATGAACTTTAACTTTTAAGTGTATGCAATGCATGGACTTTAACAATATATTACATATAAGTTACAGATTGTCTTATCACAAACTGGAGTTCAAATTTACCCAGTTTTGATTTAGATTATTTGATATGAATCCATTTGAACAATGACTCCAAGGATTATAATAACATTTAGTTACTTGGACAAGAATTCAATTTATATCCTTTCTACATAAACTGATCCAATAACATCATACTATTTACTCAGTTTAAGTCTCCTTGTTTTAACATGCTTTCTTGTGCTGCAGGCAATGCTGTGTTGCGTTTCTAAAGCCCTTTGTGGCTGTTCCATCCTGCAGGCTCTGACCCGACCTCTGATAAAGTGGTCTTGCCCTCAGTAATGCCTCTTATGCCAGGGCTTGTGAGAGGGTCCTCAAACAGAGAGTCTATGGGGCTGAGAATCTCATCCTAGCTCTTTGGTGCAGAGCTCCACTTTGTGCTTTGTTTTCATTAATAGTCGTCCCGCCCGGCACTTTGACTCTTTATTCTTTCATGTTCTACTTTACCTTAGTTGTATATAGCTGATGGCCTGGTGTGCCCAGGTTGCAAAGAAATTCACTCGCAAGATAAGGTCATCAATCCATGATCCCAAAGGTTTACAGGACTTATAGGAGTATTGCTGTCAAAAATAATTAAGAAGCATAATCTCACTGAAGCGGGAATAAATTCTAAGTGACTACATTATCAAATAGAGCCAGTTCATACACTGGAACCACCACCAGGCAGTGAGTCAACAGAAGGGGATCATGCTACGACATGAACAAAATAAAGGCTAAAAGCCCTTGAAAAAGCACTGAGAAACAACTCACAAGCTTTTAATAGTACTCTTAAGGAAATGCCTCTTAATCTCTTCAAAACAATGGTACTAAAGGAGCTGCTGAAGTTATCGAAAGAACTGAAGGTGAAGTGGGGGTGGAGGGGTGGATCTCAAGACAAAGCAACAATTCAGAAATCAGATGGTTAGAAAAAATAAACAGAATGCATTTAGCTTTTTTAAAATACATTTTCATGTTTGGATGTTATCAAATCTTGTTATAGTATATCAATGTGTATAAGCATGCCTAGCATGGTCGTCATCAGGATTACTTGGGGCTCTAGTTTATATATTAGAAATGACTAATTGCCACAAAAGGTTTGAAATTGGAAAATCAACTTTGTGGAAAAAAAAAGTTAACTCTTTAAAAAGTTATCTTGTTTCCATTTCTCAAGGCTGAACCCCCCCCCCCTTTTTAGGTTTTCAGTATTTTGCAAAACATGAACATTTTATTTCACCTTCCCTTTCTTAACCCTTCTTCCTTATATTTTTGCTATTGAAGGTAATAAAATGAACAATGTCAAGCGATTTTAGGTTTTCTTTTTTCCACTTCTATCTTTTCACAGCTTCTTCAACTTTGGAAAAATTGGCAAACAGAAAAAATTAAACCAACTCTGATGCTAGGCAACTTTTAACATTTTCTCCTACTTTTATAGTTACAGAGATTAAAACTTTTTTTTCCATAGGCCTTTCTGGGAATTTCCCAAAGTTGAAGAAGTTTTGAAAAGTTGGAGCACCAAAAGAAAAATGAAAGAATGAAAAATTGGGGGGAAAACGTCTTAAACAATATTTATTTTACTGTACAGAAAGGAAAAAAAGAGGGAAGTTAAAACAATATAAATGCGAATATTCAGAAAGTTTTGATTTGATAAAAAATGTTGGGAAAGATTTTCACACATCTTTTCTTCTTGTTTAAAGAAAAAAAGTAATTTGCAAACCAAAAAAAAATTTAATTCTAGTCAGAACTTGACTTCTGTCACTTTTCCTGAACTGAACCTTCTCTACTATAATAAGCCTGTTCTGAAGAGCCCTACACAAAACGTCTAGGGCTCTGAATTTACAGAGTAAGTTCAAAGTTTCCAGGATAATCACTCTCACCAGAGCACAATATGTGTGTGTGTGTGCGTGCGTGCGTGTGCGCGCACGCACACACAGATCTATGTATGAGAGATGCTGTACATGTCGCTTGTGAGGATTCAACCTTACCTGCCAAAGCTCAGGTACTCTGGATCTCAGCAATGAGTGATAAAGCTCTTCTAACCCTTGGGTGAGGACAATCTCCCCTTTAGTAGCACGTTGAAGTGATTGCAATGACAGAATTACTACAGCCAGTAAATGATTAAATCGGTCAATCTCTTGCCGGAGAACAGTTAACAAAGCTGAATTCATAAAGGGATCGTGTCCTGGCAGTGGAAAAATAAGTTATATTAGATAGGATTTTTTCTTCCATAGGACAGGAAATTAGCCATGTTTGTTTCTAAGGTGCCACCATGCCCGACCTTCTGAGAAGCATGAGCTTACCCTAAAGAAAAAAAAAAATCCAAAAAACCAGTGAGGATGAGGACCCACTCACCTTTTGAATGAACAGTTTTTCAGAAACTATTCAGGGTAAATAGGATTGCACTGAAGCACTTACATCCACATACACTCCAAATGGGTGGAATAGACTCTGCCCCTTATGTACAACAATATTCAAAAATAGAGAGGTGAGCATATAAGAATAACAAGCATGTCTAACATCTCAAACCTAAGAGAACGAATGATAGTACCTCAGTTTGGTTTTCTTCTGTATTTTGAGCCAGATCCCAAAAGTTTTTTAGACAAGACTACAACTGAAGTTACTGTGAAGTTTGTCTGTGTAAGGACTACTGTACAAGTGTCAGGTTTGACCTAGAAACCACTACACAAAGCCCAAGCAAAAGTCTCTGTTATGTAACTAATGCCCATCTGCAATGATAAGGAGGAGACAGTCTTAGATAAAGGAGGCTTGAAAACAAAAGCAGAATCAGTGGACTAGGGCAAAGAGCTGATTTAAATATTAAGATTCACACCCCTAGGTGGGGAGAAAGTATGCTAATGAAACATACATGTATGGAAATGAGATACATAGCTAAAACACAGGTATAGAGACATGCTCAGTAAAGAACTCCTTGCGTCACTCCCTTATAACCAATTAGCAAATGAATGCTTATGAAGGTCCAATACTCTTGTATAAAAGATGCTTAGAATTAAGAAGCTGTGTGCTTGTTACGTGAAATTATTCCGCTTGCACCTTGTATTGCTAGCAATAAATCTTTATACTTTCACCCCTGGTATCTTTATTGGCTTTTGCATACCGGGCACGATCCCAGACTTGAGCTGGGGCTCAACACAAGGAAGAAGTTTAGACTGCAGACCTTTTAAAGATATATTTTTTGTTGAAAAGACATGAACCTAATATTAATATAGCCTAGTAATACATTTACAATGTGTCATTTTGTCAGCTTCTGTGGGTCAAATCTTAGCAGCAGATCTATGGGGTGATCTTACATAACCATTTTAATCTTAAAATACTTCGGAACTGAAACGTAGTTAGTAAGATTCCCTGTTAGTCTCCTACATAGTAGTGAGATATGTGTCAGATCACTGTTTAAACACTAACCACATGTTTGAACAATTCATATTAGAAAACTTCCCAGATTACTATCAAATGCTGGGAAGGATTATGAGGTGTTTTTTGCACCTTACTGCATGAAGAATGGCAGAAACGTGTCAGGTGAATCATTCTCTGATATTATAATTTATCCCAAAGTATCCTAAAATCTGTTTGGGCTCATAACTGGCTACACTGAGTTGCTGTTTCTTATTACGCAGTCCTATGGATCTAATGTCTCTAGGAAAATTTGTTTACAAGGAAGTTGATAAACATTTTATGGGAGTATAGAAGGGGATATTTCTTACCTGATAACTAATTTCTCAGCTAGCTAGCACAGAACTAACTAATTTCTCAACAGCTTCTCTCTGCACTCATCACAGCTGACTAATGCCTCTCACCTTTGGAGCTCAAAGGTGCTTAATATTGTTGTTGAAGGATTGAGGATTAATATCTGTCCTTCAATTCAGGTACCCATAAAAGTTCTTCTAAAGATATGGAAAATTTCTGGCAACCTTAGTAGGATTGACACAACAATTCAAGTGTATCTTTGCTAATTTAAACTCTTATATGATTAAGATTTCCTTTTAAAGAAAAAAAAATCAGTTTGCATTCCAGTCATCTCTAAGATACTGAGGCCAACCTGAATGAGGAAGAAAACTGCTAAAAAATAAAAAAATAAATCAGAAAACAAAATTGCTCATTCTGTTTCAAAGCTGCTCTCCTCACCACTGCTGAAAAGTAGGAACCACTGATGTAGGAAAGAAAGGATAACGTATAATGCTAATTATTATTATAATAGAATAATACATAAAATGGTAATTACCTCCCACATAAAACTACTGAAAAATAGAAAGTTGCTTTGCAAATCTTCCCCCCGGGAAAAAACCCAGCCAGACATAGACAGCTGCATAATAGGAACTGAGATGGCTTCGGAGACCTAACAGACCTCTCTGCTAGCCCAGCCATGCTACAAGACTCTGGTAGTAGGCCAGTCAGCCCAATATGAAGCACTGGGTAGAGAAGAGGCTCCAAGAAACATTTGCCTAAGGTGAAAAGGCAAGGGGTTTGTACATTACTTGCTTATTTGCAATATAAATAGCTGCCTGAGAAAGGGGACAGTTGCTTTGGCTTCCTGGGACCTACAGTCTCTTGAATTGGTAAGGGATTGTCTTCTCTTTGGGGATCCTCGTACTCCTGGTCATCCTTGTACACTAGCCTTCGACACTCCTGGTCAAGCCTTCCACACAGTACCACAGGGTGGAGCTGAGCCTCTACAATAACTGGCTGGAGGTCTCTATACTATGGCAATGTGAGGTTATTAGCATGTGGCAGCAGGTAGAATGCCCTCTAAGGGTGCATCTACATGTTGCCCTACAGTGATGTAGCGACATGCTACATTGATGCATGGTGCGCTACAGCAACGTAGCAATCATGTAGGTCTACACGATAGGTAGCTATGTCGCCATAGTGGCGTGCTCCCCCATTTTAGCACGCTGCTATGATTACGTAGCAGCAAAATCCAACTGCACCATGTGCACGGTGCAGTATGGGCAGTTACTACGTCATGCCTTACTACTCCCAAAAGGAAGGGTACTGAATTGCAGAGGTGAGGAGCCTGTTATAAATGAAGAGAGAAACTGTGCAGCAGACTGTTAGAGAGCATTTTTAAAAGAAAAGAAAATGTTATTCCCCCAAATATAATCTTTTCTAGTTGAATAGTTTGACCCATTGTTCTGACCTTTAGTGGCTTTTGCAAGAGCAGCCCAAGTAGGTCCTGACATGAGGCGCTCCAGTGTAACTCTACTTTTGGAGGTGCTTTCACTTCTAGGTGTCAGTTCTGTATCTTGCTCCTCTACAGTCAGGGGCAGCTGCCTTAGAATGTCAGATGCTCTTTCCAGTACTAATTCATCCTGGCTCTTTCTACCACTGGTGAAAAACAAAAAAACAAGGTCTGTAATTCTGAAATTGCTCAAGCCAGAAGCTCTGATAGGAGAGGATCTAGTTTCGTTTCCTTTTGTGGTTCATTGTCATATTTATTGTCATATATTCCACCCATAAGGGGTTTTTTTCATCAAGTTATAGAGGACGTTTTCTGTAGTTAGCGTTAGATGAGGGGGTATGTACATAGTGCTACGCTGTGTGGGGGGCACTCCAAAAGATTGCTCCTTTCAGCCTGAGAGTGGGGAAAAGTCAATTGTCTACAGCAGCATTTCCCAACCTGTGGGTTGCGATCCAAAGGGTGTCTCAAGAATATATGAAATGGTCACAAACTTTAAAAATAGATTCTCCTTTAAAGGAGAAAAACATGGGAAATGGTGGCTTTTCCCTTCAAGCTGGCAGAGTTCCAGCTGTTGATGTTTGCAAATGGGTCCTGGTACAAAAAAGGTTGAGAACCACTGGTCTACAGGATACGGCAGATCCTTGACACAGCTGTTAACTATTTTAAACTTAGAATAACAGATAACTATTCCCTAAGCAAGTCAATTCTTGGGCATTGATAGCTTTTTAGTGTTTTTTTATATTTTGGGGGCTAGATATATTTGACATACACAATACACAAAAGTACTGCATACATGGAGCAACCTGGGGTTCAGTGGTAGAATTCTAGTCTGCCATGCAGAAGACCCGGGTTGAATTCCTGGCTGCTTATACAACTACAGCTGTGGAGACACCAAACATCTGGACTCAGTCTGGCCTTTGGTTTCTGTCTCAGCAGCCTAAAGGGAGAATGGAAGTTCTGGGCAGCCTCTACTCCTCCATACTGCTGCCTAGGCATATGCATTGAAGGTCTGGGTGATCTCTCGCACATACACGAGGACTGATGGTTGCCAAACCAAACACTGCATGCATATATCAGAAGCAATCTGGTGGAAGTTAGGTAATCATAAGAAATAGAAATCCTATGTACAACCAGGAAGACACCAATTACCTTTTAAAGTCAAAAACCCTTTTATTGTCTGGCATATTAAATTAAAGTTCTGTTGGCAAGGCTCCTGGAATTGTACAGTAAAGTTCAATGCTGAACTGGATGCTGAAATCTGAAGGGAGATGAGGATACTCTGCTGAAATCAGCACTGAAGGAAGAATTAGAAAATGAAAAGGGGAGGACAGAATTTCAGCAGGGGTGCACCGTTAGAGTGTACCCTCCCCTTCTATTTCTCCACTCCCTCAACTGCTGCTGTTGCTTTCCTCACTGTTGTGGTGGTTTGGAAAGAAAAAGAGCCCTTTCTGTTCTCCCCAGCCAGGCTGTATGTGGACTGGGCTCAGCTGGGGATGAGGAAAGTGGCAGTGGCAGTGGGCAGGGGGCATCTCCTTCCCCATGCCTGTTCCCAGGGCACAGGGCAGCGAGGGGGGACCTACTTTCCTTCCCTGCTGGTGCAGGTGCCCCTATCTTCAGATGAGCCCAGCCCTGGCACAGCTTGACTGGGTTGGGCAGGAACAGCTCTGGTGCTTCCCTTGCACCCAGAACAGCAGGGAAAGCAACAGTGGCAGGTGGAGGAGGTGGGAGGAAAAGTGAAGGAGAGAGGAGTGCTTTAGAGACTCTGCTTTAGGGACTTTAAAAAGTCCCTGGAGGCTCTTGAGAGCAGTCTGCCCACATTGGTGGGGATGGAGGAAAGTGGGAGCTAGGGGTGTACCCACCCCTACAGTGGGGGGGTTGCTGCTCCTGCACCCCACATTGAGAAATCCTGGATCAGGTGCTGGAGGAAGAGACTAGGTAGGAAACCTCAGGGTTAATACAGACAAAGAATGAGATGGGTGAGAAGAAAGGAAAAAGAAGAGTGAAGGAGGGAAGTTCCAGTATATCTGTCTTGCCAATACATTTTTTTTGGAAAATAAAATTCTCTGGGGTAACAGAGAAGAAAACTTGGCAAAATTACACGCATCATTAAACACATGAAGGCATTTATATGACATTCACAGAGCAGTTCCCTTCTTGCTGAGCTGTTCAAAATGTACCTTCCAATATCATTGCAAAGAAGAGGGATGTTTTTAGTTAACAATATGCTGTATGCCCTTACTCTTAATGACATGGTAAATTAGGCTTAAGTGCATGAAAATAATAATTGAAATTGTGGATCAGCACAAGTAACTTCTAGTTTTGTGCACTAGATTTTGCTTAGGCTCCTTTTTAGAATACTGACCTGATTATCAGGGTGTCCATCATGACTCCTGGCTGCAAACTGGCAAGGGTATCAACAAGGGCTTGTGCCTGAGACTCCAGAAAGGCTCTTTCAGCACAGGCATGCATTCCAAATAGTTCTGGTGAATCTGTGTCTGGTAGAGACTCTAGATATATTCTGCAATCCTCTAAGCTGTCTGTTTCAGATATCGGTCTATATACCTGCAAAACAATTGACAAAGGGTTATTTCTCTACTTAAGCCCCATGTGAATTAAACATTTTTAAAAGTGATTTATATACTGCTGCATTCCAAAATTTTTAAACTAGTAATCCAATTGGTTTTGCATTGGTATTAACATTTCTTTATTTGTCCCACCAGGGGCAGATTCAGGGTGGGAGGTGCAGCTGCACCACCCTTCATTAGTGATTTGCTGCTCAGAGCTCCAGTCTCAGCTTCCAGGTACATGTGCAGTAACCTCACTGCATACACAGTCCACTTTTTCACCATTCTGGATCCATTACTGACTAAAAGAGGCAGAAGAATAAAAGATTTTTCTATGGCTTCAACGACTGTGGGAAAGGAGGGTCACTTACTAATAACACTTGACTCTGTGTCACTTGACTCTGTGTATTCACAGGGATTTTGGTTGTAGCCGTGTTGGTCTAAGGACATAGGCAGGCAAGGTTCTTTGGGTAGATGTGATATCTTTCTAATAAAATAATCTTTATTAGCAAAATACCCAAAGGACCTTGCTTTCACAGGGATTTAGCACCTCTAAGTGCATAAAAAAACTATGTCCTACTGTATGGGAATTCTCTAACAGCATTATCTTGGGCCAGACAGCATGGGTGGTGGGGTGCATGCCACATGTTTTTAGAGAAAATCTTGATACTTCTGAAGGAGGATTTTCTTGGTTTGGTTGAAGGCTTAAGGAAGCCACCTGTGTCTGCAGTCTTAGCTATCTGTCCTTCCCCATCTAAGGGGTGAAGGTGTGGCAAGCTGTACACTAGTGTTTCTTCTGGACACACTAGGCAGTTGACAGCAAGAATAGAGGAGGAGATAAGCAGCCTAGCATAGTGGCAGAACACATTAGGGATTACTTTGAGGAGCTGGGTGTTTTCAGGTTGACAGGGCTGGAGGGGATGTGCCATAAAGTACTGAAGGAATTGGCTGGGGTCATCATCAGCAAACCCTTGATTTGAAGATGGTCTTTACTATGGCTCACTGATGGGTCTTGAGGTGATTTAAGAGTCCAGTCCTGGAGCCAGAGATCCATCTGCAGAAGTTGCAGGTCTTTCTGCAGGGCAGAGTAAGCTGCAGGCTGGGATTCCTCTTCTTTTCATTCCTCTATGCTTTCTTCTCTGCTTCCAGGGCAAGACACTTTCCCTCAAAATGGGCTGCCACTTGGTTGAGGCTGCAGTACCATTGAGGTTGGTCAGCAACCAGCTCCTCTCAACTCTTGATGTCAGCATCTGTTTTCTTGGGCTATGCCTACAATGTGTCCTTGCAATGTTTGCTCTGGCCACCATAAGACCTCAGACTGTTACTATGCTGGGAGAAGAGCACTTGTTTTGGGAGTCAAGCATCTGCAGTGTCCAGTTCAGCGACGTTCGTGCTTGAGGATCACCAACTCAATGCTGGTGACATTGGCTTCAGCAAGGATGCTGGTATTTGTGTGGCAATTTTCCCATTTCATATGGAGGATTTTCCAGAGGCATCATTGGTGATACCTCTTTAGGCTCTTGAGATGACGATGGAAGGTCATCCATGTTTCACATCCATAAAAGAGAGTGGGGATGATTGCATTGTAGATCTGGATCTTTGTATTTTTCCAGAGATCATGATGAATAAAGACATGCCAAAGCTATTTCCCAAAGGGGGCACTTGCACACTGGATCCTGTGTTGGGTCTCCTTATCAATGTTCACTCTCTGAAAGAAGTGGCCTTTGAGGTAGTGCTTGACTACCTCCAGGGTCTTTCCCTTGATGGTAATTTGGAGAGGGAGATCACACTCATGGCCCAGGACAGACTGGTAGAGCACTTTAGTTTTCTTAATGGTGAGATGGAAGCCCAAAGTTAGGTGTGTTTCCCCAAAGAGATCCAGCATGTTCTGGAGGTTTTCCTCTGTGCGCAAGGATGGTGCAGTTGTCAGCATATTAAAAGCTAGGCACGGTTGTTTTGAGCACTTTGGTCTTTGAGTGAAAATGACTCAGGCTGAACACTGAATGGATGGAGGACTCTTCAAGGTCAATTCAGGAAGGAAGGAGGTCCTTAATGAGAACCAGGATGACTGTCAAAAAAACCCCTAAGAACAGAGTTGATGCGATGATGCATCCTTACTTGACTCATATGGATGACAAATGGACCTGTCTTCAGTTCACTACAAAGGATAATCACAGTCACGATTGTAGAGAAGCCTCAGTACCTTGAGGTGCTTCTCAGGATATCCAAATCTGGCCTGCATCTTCCACAAGGCTTCACAATTGATGGAATCAAAGACTTTAGTAAGGTCAGTGAAAGTTATATATAGGTCCTGATGTTGTTCCCAACACTTTTTTTGGACCTGGAGGGCAACAAAGATCATATCAGTTGTAGCAAGAAACCCTTTTGTCTGCCCCCCCTCAAATGTGAAGCTCTTCCATATGGCAAAAGCCCCCCTTTTAGTATTTGCCCCTTTTGGGGCTGCTTTCTCTTTTCTACCTTTTCTTCCTTCCTCTCTTTTTTTTTTAATTTTATCATCATTATTTTTATATAAGGTGTATTTGTAGTGAAAATAGAGCTTGTAGATGCTTTTACAAATGTACTTTAAGTTTAAAAGTAAGTTGTACCATGTAACAATGTTAGCAAGAGCAGGAATCTCTGTATGGAGAATCCGAATGAATCATGGTTGATTCTGTAGCACAGTAGCTAGTCTGGATAAGCATGTTAATGAGCGGCAATTAACACCTACAAAATCCGAGACCAAGGAGAAAAAAGAATCAATAAAGAGCCAGGAATTCCTGGAAACTTCATTGTTAAAGGTACAGAAGCCCCTGTTTGAACTAATCAATGCTGGAAACAGATCCTTGGGGCTGAAATACCCCCTGATCAACCACTTCCAGAGCTCTATTCATCATGGCAGTGAATCAATCAAAATTCATCAATGGACTCCTGAGACTGCAAGTATGTGCGGACATGACCCATGGGGCTGACAGCTGCCATCCAGCAGGGACATTTCTTGAGGTCAATGACCCCTGGATTGGGTAAGCCTGAGAATTGGGGAGTCACCAAAGTCTGCCAGAGAGGCATAAAAGGCAGTGAAGAATGACTCCTAAAGGCACCCTCTTTGACCTGACCAGCACCCTGCCTGTCCAGCCAGAAGGACCAGCCAGTGACCCCCTTCTGCAGCAACATTGCACTGAAAGAAGCCTCGACTGGTCATTGACGGCAGACTCCAGTGCTTGGGGATAGGTATATCTTGACACCAGTGCTTAGTGTTCAAAGCTAGCTACTGTGAATGTGCGTGTGTGTGCGTGAATGTGTGTGTGTTTGAGGGGATCAGCACCAAGGTTTATGGTCTGACTTTTGCATCCATCCAATAAACTATAATTTTATGATGATCCTGTGAGTTGGTGCTTTGTAGCCAACAGTTACCCCATGGGATGGTCTGAAGCCACACTGAGATTCTGGCAGGACTTCCTCAGCAAGAGCTGGAAGACAAGTCAGGAGGCTGCAGGAGAAGATTTTCCCTGCTGTGGAAAGGAGGGCAATACTTTGATAGTTCCCACATACAGTCTTATTTCCTGTCTTGAAGAGAGTTATGATGTTGACATTCCTCAGGTCCTCTGGGATCTCATCGTTGCTCCAAATTCAGGGAATAAATTCATGGCATCTCAGTACCAGTTCCTTGCCAACAGCCCTGTAGGTTTTAGCAGGTATGCCATCTGGTCCAGTAGACTTGTTCTTCATTTCCTTGATGGCACACCAGACTTCTTCTAGGATAGGGTTAGCAAGGGATCCCATTTCAGGGTGTTAGGGGGTGGTTCAGAATGCCTTAAACTGTTCTTTCCGTATGGCATGGATAGATTCATTGTCTTTGAGGAGGGTTGAGCCATCCTGCGATCACAAAAAAAAAGGCCATGGGAAGTTGAGGCATGGATGGTTTTTGTTGCCTGGAAAAAGCTATGCATGTCATGTTTGTCAGCATAGATCTGGATCTCCTTGGCTTTACCTTGCTACCACTGATTTTTTTATTTCCCAGATCCTCCTTTGAGCTTCAGCTTTGAGGAGCTGATACATCTCCTTCTTCTGCTGGGATAGTGTTATTGACAAGCAGAAAAAGCCCTTCTGTTCCAGCTGAGGAGGGCTTGGATTTCAGCATTGCTGTCATCGAACCAGTCTTGGTGTTGATGGGTGGTATAGCCAATGGATTCAGCACAGGCTACATGCATGGCAGTTTTAAACCCCTTCCAGAGTTCCTCAGTGTTGCCTTCATTTGTGGACAAGGCGGAGAGCTTTTCATGGAGACACTGTTGAAAATCCTTACAGACCTTCAGGCCTTGAAGAGATTTGGTGTTGAGTCATTTGCAGTGTTTTTGGCTGTTTTCAGTATTTCAGAGCAAGCTAGATGTTCATAATGAAGCTGACAATCCAGTGATCTGTCTAGCTGTCATGGGCTCCTTGTATGGCTCATACGGACATCCATTCAATCACAGGCTCTAACAATAACATAGTTGAGGGAAGTGCCAGTGGTTAGAGCAAGGGTGTCTCCAGGTAGTCTTGTATTTATCGCTCTGTCAGAAGATGGTGTTTATGATGACAATACTGGGCTTTGTGCATTTACTCAGAAAGATGCTATTGGAGTTGGCCTTCCCTACTCCTTTCCCAATGGTGTCACTCTAGAGTTCCAGGTCACATCTGACTTGGTGTTGAAGTCACTAAGGAGAATGATCTCGTCCTCCCTGCAAGTATGAGACAGAACATGGTCAAGATTGGAATAGAACTGTTCTTTGAAATCACTGTCAGCATCAAGTGTTGGAACATGCACTGATGATGGTGGTGTACTGATTGTGGCTGAGCTTAAGACATCAGTAAGATAGAGACTAGACAAAAGTATCATCCATGTCCTGGCTGAGATTCCCTTTGATAATGTGAAAGCAATTTCCATGATGTGAAAATCATTTCAGAGTCTGCATGTCATCAACATATATATATTTCTCAGCCTGTGCTTCAGGAATGTCATAGATGCATATAAAAAAAGAGCTAAAAATTTTCAAAGAAATCAGGTGGCTGATTTTCTCCCAAATTTCAGAGTAGCTTGTTGGTTGCCTATCACTTCTAGGAAGAGCCATACCAGCAGCCATGCTCACAAGGAATAACTTTCAGCAGTTTAGCAATCAGTCAGTCAATCTGACATGGCACACCATTCATTTGCTGAAATCAGATCTGTACCAATCTTCTTTCCTGACTCAAGTGAGCTCTGTATACCTTTGGTAAAAAGAAGTATGGGATGTTAGGTGCAATGTCTCCTACTGAATTCAGCCTGAACACGAGGCATTTGAGGCTCGATAACTTTACTGATCTGCAGAAGGATTAGTCAGTTGTATGTGGTCGCTTCCTCAACTATGTTATTGTTAGAGCCTGTTATTGAATGGATGTCCGTATGAGCCATATGAGGAGCCCATGACAGCTAGACAGATCACTGGATTGTCAGCTTCTTTATGAATGTCTGGCTTGCTCCAAAACACTGAAAACAGCCAAAAACACTGCAAATGACTCAACACCAAATCTCTTCAAGGCCTGAAGGTCTGTAAGGATTAGTCAGTGGTATGTGGACACCATAAAGAGGTAGTGATGCAGTTTACAGACAAAGATGCATGATAGACACTTACCATAGTTTTTTAAATCAAGAAAGAGGAAATTCACCTTACAAGTGCTGTTATCAAAGCATGCCACTAAAATTCAGGTCAGTGCAACTAAATATAACATCGTTCACATTTTCAGAAGATATAGATTAATGTAATATAAAAAATGAGAGCTTTTTGTGCCACAGTAAAATTTACCAATTAATTGCTGTTCAAAGTTTAGATGCAGATACCATAAATTGAAGTTCAATCAGTAATAAGACTGAAAATGTATTATGTAAATTGTTTAAAGATGCAACTAGTTAAATAGTTGGAGAATACTGATTGAAAAGGAAGTTTTTCATACCCGATCACAAGAATAAGCAAAACCTTCCTGCAGAACGGCAGGGTTATAGAAATTGTCCAGAATACTGAGCAAGCAACGTCGGTCCCAGTGATCAGTCACACGACCTCCATAGGTTACTTCTCCAGTCAAATAACGCAATGCTGGCCAAGGAACCTTTTCTTGGCTCTTCAAAAGCATTCTCAGCATCTGTATGGAAATCTTTGGAAGAAAAGGCTTAAATAAGGCAGTGGTGTTGTTATTTTTGGGGTTAGGATATTATTTTTAGAGCTCTGTGATGCATAGGAATCCCCTAACTGCTTCATTAGCCATATACTGTAAAAGCTGAAACATAAGAAGGTGTGATTTCTTGTAGATAGCTGTGAGCTACCATGCTTCAGAAACAATCAATAGATTCTGATTACATTGTAGTAATTGAAAGAGCTGATATTCACGTGATCTTTAAGAAAAATGTAAAACAACAGAACAAGAATGAGAAAATACATATGACACTCATACAGCAAGGTACCCTAGAAAAGAGAGAGACATTTAAATGGCCGTGTTTAAGATCACCTATTTAAGACTCTTACCCTCCCCCGACACCCATACACAGTGGGTCTCAACTGAATTTTACAATATTGAGGGGTTTTGTATTAATGGGAATGCAGCTAATGTCTAGACCAAGGGAGGCCAAAATATGGCCTGTGGACCAGATCCGGACCACCAATTGATTTTTTTCTGGCCAATTGGTGGGTGGCATGGGCAGTGGTACCACACAGCAGGCTCTGGATAAGCAGCGCTCAGGCTCCAGCAGCTCTGGCTCCAGCCACTGCATGGCACTGGGTGGCTGGGGCTGCTTCTGCCTAGCAGCTGCTGGGGCTGGAGTGTGACTCCATCCTGCCCATGGGGGATGGAGCCCCTGTGCTGTCTCATCCCACCCGACCATCAGGGCTCCTGGGAGTTGCAGGGTGCAGTGTGTGCATGCGCGTCAGGAGCCCTGACAGCAGGGCAGGATAGGACAGCACAGGAGACCCATGGCCAGGCTCCAAACCCCACCCCCTCCCAGCTGTGGATGTGGCCAGCAGGTGTCAGCTCTGGGCACTGGGGGGGGGAGGTGCGCGCACGTGTGTACACATGTACAGGCGTGTGTACATGTGTGTGTGTGTGTGTATCCATGTGAGGTCCTCAACAGCTCACCAAAACTTGTTAAGTGGCCTTCCAACCCAAGTAATTGCCCACCCCCGGTCTAGAGTAGGAGATAATGCATGCAGGTACAGAACTTGCGCAGATTCAGCTGGGAGAAATGAACTGTTGTATAGAATTTAGCTTTTTCTAGATTTACCAGCCTTGCCACCAATCACAGAATGATGGGTTGCATATTATGTGGCTATCTGCTAGGTTACTATTTTATCCTTCTCCAAAGCAGAGGGGATAGGATTGGGAATGTGTACCTGGACAAAATATTGTGAAGAATTCTAGTTATTGTGAAGTAAATATTTTCACTCTTTACCTTTGAGTGACTGTTTATATGTACATCCCAACTATTAATGACTCAAAAGAAGTATATCAGTTTAGCTGAAGGCAGTTTTTTTGAGGTCCAAGGGTGGTGTACCATCAGCACCGTCAATAGAATGGCGATGGGCAGCAGTAGCAATCTGGGTCTCTGCAAAATGTGCATGTCCACTGGTACTGTAAACATCATTAGTGATGCAAAACCATCTGTGGCAGGAAAACACAGACAACACTTGTTCCCCTGTGGGGCTATACCAATATATGGGTTGGTGCGGTAGGAAATGCTGTTAATATGAATGCTTTGCTGCTGAATGTTGTGGCCTCCGCAGAATGTTGTGGAGTGGGAGGTTGATCAGGCACCATGACAAAGAGGGGGCATTTTGTAGTGCTATTGGTATTTGGTCCTCAGTACACTATTTGGTGCTGAATCACTGGCCTTATAGGGCATGTAAAGTTTGTCAGGAAAACCTCAGGGCCACAAAAGCCCAGTGAGAGTGTGGGGCAGGAGATTTCATTCTGGAGGAGGTTTTTTGAGGGACTCTACACCCACAACTGCCTCTGCCCCATTCCTTATTCAAAGAGATTTTTCTTGTGTTGGTTGGAGTAGGTGCAGCCACATGCTATCAAATTCAGGTAATTCTCTCGTACAAGTTTTAAATCAAGTAAAACTCTAACACTGCTCCATAGAATATTTAAGCACAATGATGTGCTGGTGTCAGGACTATGGACTATTGCTTTCTCCTCACAATGTTCATGACCTTCCACGTCAACAGAAGTGAAAAAAAGATAAGAGACTTCCTGTGTAGTAGGAAAAATTATGCATTTTGGTTTTTCATGTTCTTCTCTTCTTCATACATATTATTAAAAATTTAGTGATTATTAGGTTCTTCCCAGGCCTAAATTTGGACTGCTTACTTTTTATTTCCAATTTACTGGGGTTTTATCTTCTAGGTTGTGGGAGACAAAGATAGTATCAAAATTAAGCTACCACCACAACATTAAGTGTGTTGTGGACCTGAGCCATTTGACTTCTTGGGTATCTGATTTGGGTGCTCCTGCTTGGTTCTACTGTATTCAACCTAAGTATTAATGAACCTGAGAATCAAAATCCCAGTTTACTTTGCAATTTCTTAACAGATATTACCTCTAAATCTGAAGAGTTAAATTCATATGGGATATTCCAGCCCAGAGCTCCATACTTCTTTCTTTCTTGGACAACAGCATTAAAGAAACACAAACTGAAAAGCAGCTTTTTCCATGATGGCCCAAATGCAGCCTTGTTGAAGATATTTTCAGTTACCTCTCCACTGCCACTGTACCCAAATGTTTGAAGTAATTTTCCTTTCAAACCTTGAGGTGGTTCTACAGCCATCTTTAAAAAAGGAAATAGGGGAAACAAGGTAACTATTATCCAACATATTTTTCTGCATATCATAATTTTGCAGGATACACTGTGCCAGAGTCAAGTTGCACATTTTTTCTAGCCAGCAGTGTCCACTGTGGCATCATGCCTCTCACATGCCCTGAGCCCCAGAATATAAAAGGAGTGGACTCAACTGCCCTTTGGATCTTTCACACAGAAGGATCCAAAACCTAACACTTTGCATACTGGTACTGTACACTGCTGAATAGCACCAACATATTAGCACCACAAGACTAAGATAACCTAGCGTGTTGTGAGATTTTTTTAATGCTACAGTATAGTGGGTACCAGACCCTTTCATCAACCACAGTCTATAATTCTGGATTACAGGCAATGGCCCCAGTTGACCTAGATAGATCCAGAGGATGTACATGGTATTGGAACTCAGCCCTCAAATAGGTCAACCTGAAAGGACACAAGTACATTGGCATCATGCCACTGCTGCTGCAATATCAACAACAAATTACATCAACCTAGAAGTGCCTGGGAACCTAGGCATTGAGTTGATGCTGGGTTGTCAGTACACAATTCAGCTAATCTAGTGGGACAGAAGAACTTTAGCTATATGTTGACCATGCTGGGCCCTTCACCTAAGGATGGGTGAACCTTGGCAACAAATCAGATTGACTCTAAAAGTTCCTAAGACCTTGGCTCTAACCAATGGTGTTAGATGTCAGTGCAGAATTAGATTAATCTGGAGGAGGTGGCCAGGACTGTTGGGTCTGCATTGAAAATGTTGGGACCTGATTATCACACAGGTCAACCTGGAAGAATCTGGTACCTCAGCACTGTCACCAATATCAAGACTTCTGCCCTGAATTAGTTCAACCCAGAGGAATCTGGGGACTTAGGTGTTGATGGCATCAAATATTCTTCTCAGAACTCTTCCTATATAAGACTAGCACAAATAATATTGCTCAAGTTGGACACAGAGCAAATTAAGGATAATGAATATCCAAAGCTGATGCAGGATTTCCAGATTTCCAGGCCTAAGAAGCTGCCTCTATCCAAAGTAGTATATGAGACAACATCCTTCTGTTCCTGAAGATCAAAACATGATCAACCTGCAGTACATACACCACAAATATTATGGCAGCCACTGTGGTTGTAGTATGTTTCATTTTTAACTTTCTTCCTGCTATTGCAGGACTACTCTTTGGATCCTTAAGAGGGAACTAAAGCTTCATTAGCTAGAGAGGTTTTACAAAGCAATCCATTCTTTATAAATATTTTATTTTCCTTATGTATAGAAATAAAGCCCTCTGTCTTAGCTTGGAATTGGTGAACTTCACACCAACCTTGGGAGCATGCTGGAGCTAGATTTTGGCTTGATTTTAGTTCTTATTAAGACAATATCAATAATGGGATAAGATATCTGAAACACACAAACTGAGTATTTACAACTGAATCATAGTAACTTGTTGATTTTGGTGTACTGGGTTGTGACGGCCAGAACCAAAGAGATTAATAAACAATAAATATGTGCTTCTTGGAGGCATTTGGAATTTTTGCCTAATATAAAGCTTTTAAGTTTGTAACCCGCAAATGTAACTTGCCTGTCATAAGTTTAACCAAAATCATAAAACTAACTGTTTGTAGAACTAACTGGGCCCCAAAGGCGAAGCTGTAGCTGCAAGATTAGCTGACCTAATCGTTTTTGCTCAGGGTTCAGCCTTGATGATAAAAACTGGATCCAACTGCCTGGCACACCCAACACATTCTAGAAAAGCACGTCCCAAGAAAACATATTCAGGAAAATCTAAAAGGGTTGAGTAATGTTAATTTCAAATCTAAAAATGCTGCATTGTAATTTTGCTTATTGGATAAACCTGAGTCTGGGTAGTAACCTTTTATAATAATTTTTAACACCTTTCAATCCCATAGGATAACAGCTATAGGACAAGATTGTGAGTGGCTCTAAAGCCAACAGATTAGCATAAGACTAGGTACAAAAAGTGTGTGCATCA